GCCTTGATTAAAAAACAAAAAGAGGAAAAACATCATTAGAGCGCAGGCGAAAGCACCTTAATTAGTCGAGCAGCAAGGACGAGTCAAGGTCGCCGATGGGAACTCATTTGCAGTTGCTGCCGTTCGCAGCTTCCGTAGCCTTCGTCCTGTTTTCAACATTTTTTTTGGAACTCCGACCTCGTCCTGCCAACCGCACAATTATTTGCAGCCGGAAAAAGGACCTCATGTTGAGAAGGTGCGTTACAAATCGCCTGCACTTGTCCTTGTCCTTGGCCAGCATCTGTGAGCCTCCGTCTGAGCCTGTCTAATATCCTTAGAGCATATCCTATCCGACTTTCATGCTTTGCGGTTTAATCGAATTTACAGATTTGCCGAGAGTTATTCCTGGGTCTGTTTGCAAACACCAGTCCGCTTAGGTTTTTATTGGATTAGCCACACACAAAACAAACAAAAGTGTCTTAAGTCGCTCAAACTCTTATCCCTTGGCTTATGCAATTTTGTTTAGGCGATTTCCGGGAAAAATGTGTTGCCAATCGCCAATTAAATGGGCGGCGAACAAGGGATTTAGGACACCAACAAAGGCCAAGATTGCGATCGAAATGATTTCTGCTACTTTCTCTTCTCGCAAAGGGAACATTCCAATGTAATCACCCAAAAACCAACCAAAGCGAAACTACTAACCAACGAAATTACCATTTAAACAATAAAATAAGATATTAAACACTTAAGACCAATTAGCGCCCCAAAGAGAAGAGCAAACATCAATAGCAAATGGCAGAAAGCGGCTAACAAGCTTGGTCAAAACTGACAAATTAGCTGAGAAAACAATTTGCGGCGAGTGGCAAATTAAACAAATTACAGCTTTGCTGGCAACTTGCAGCGGAAATTAGCCAGCTAAAAGCGAATGGGTTAATTGATCGAAAACACGTTGAAGTCGAATGCAAATCTTGGCAGATGAAGTCATAAAATTCTTACGACTCTCGAATCTTTTTAGCTCGATTCTGGGCTTATGAAATGCCAATCGACTTAATAAAATTAATAAAAAATCGCCAAACAGCGGCCAGACAAATAGCAATAAATAAGAAACACGTTTTGCTCTTCTGACCAATCTGCCCGATCTATTAGCTGGCTATTTTCCCTGGGCAAATAAAGTAGTCAAATTTATAATCAACAAGTTCATTAACATTTAACCCTAAACGAAAGACAGCGAAACAACAACAGCCACGATAAAAACAACCGAAGGCGACAACTCAACGGATGAACAGCAACCTAAAAAAATGTATTTTTAACAAATTAAAAATTGTTTTAAAGCCTGAGGCATTGTGCGTATTAAGCGAGGAAAAGGGGGGAAGGGTGGGGAATGTTGGGTCAACAGGAGGTGGAAGTGATGGGAGTTGGTCCGAAGTGAAGTGAAGGCAGCCAGCTCACTGACAAACGATTTACGAACAGAGTTAAATTTTAATTAAAGCCAGCCCAGAATGCTGGAAGGGAAACACAATACAACTGCGATATACCCTAATTAAACTATGTTTGTAATCCCACATTGTTACAATAATGTAAAAAAGAAATTTTAGTTTACCCGGCCTTTTTTTTATATATTAAATTAACCTGATTATTTATCTAAGAAAGCTTTAGGTGCTTCTAAATATTGTATGTAAAGTAAATTTTAACTACTTTTCTCATGAAATAGAACTCTTGAAAAAAAACTTCCGTTTAATGTTACCTAATATTAACTAATAAATCACCACTAAAAGTATAAACAATAATTTACCCAACATTTTCTATCTAGATAACTATGTTGTACCCTCAGTAAATCATGCTTACCATATCAAATATCACACGGAAACCTTTTATCTTCCTAAATGGCGCACTTTCCCCATTAATTCCTGTGTTACTTTCGGCATATCGGTGCAGCAGATCGGAGGCTCCAATTACATAGGGTAACTCTATATCCGAATAGTTCCCAAAAGGAAGAGTACCTCTCCAAAATCGTAGGGTATGCAAATGACAGTCGGACGGACCGCTCATTTGTACCGAGGGGAGTGGGGGGGAAAAAACGTCGGATTCGTGTGTACGTACGAGTATATTATGACTCGCATGTGTGGCCATTAATAACTCCCGATCGCCACTCGCCGGCACTCAGCACAGCGGACGGATTTACGCATTTGGCTGCGTAAAATATGAATTTTAAATTACTCAGCCTCAGTTTAAGTTCCCCGATTTCAGTTCCCATTTCCAGTTTCAGTTTTTAAACTGAAGAGAAATTATTGGGTTCGACGGCGAGGGGAAATCGGCAGTTGGAGCCCTACAAGGCGTTCATTTAATTCCGACCCGTTTTCGTTCCAGTTTTAATTTCGATTCCAGTTTGACAATTGAGTTGTTGCCTGCGATTAAGACCCTCATGTATTTCTGATTGTTATTTACCTGTAATTTCAGATAATAATATCATTTTAATTGTGATTTTAAGGCAAAATAAACTTGAGATGCTTGGGAAATTTAAATATTATATTGTGATCATCTTTAACAATTTTTTGGATATTTTTACGACCCTATCTTAATAAATGTATTATTATTTACTTGTCTTAACAGAAATGCCATTTGTTATTTTGAATTCTCAATATTCTGTGTCACATTGATAAGATCTCAAGTATAAATTAAATTTGAAAATGCAAATGATATAGGAATAAAAACATCCATATGTTGTTATTGGTTTTTTTTGGTATGTTTTGGCACTCTGACAAGTTCTTTGTTTGAGTCTTTTGTTTGGCCGGCAGCAACGAAGCTGAGAAAAAGCCATTAGAGGTGGAAAAGTAATCGAAAGAAGAAAAAAGAAATAGAAACAGTAGCCGAAGTGGTGGAAAGGCAAAGCTCATTAGCAGTTACCATTTTATCCAAACATACGCATCATTATCATTAAGGGCAAACGGGAAAGCAACAACAGCGGCAGCAGCCGCATCAGAAACAAGTTGAAAACTTTAATTAACGCATTTTTACGCAACTGTCGGCGGCAGTTTAACCCTTTTTGTGGCTAAAACACTGAGCAAACACGACAACGGTAATAATTGAAAATCATGGCAATCAAAGCGGAAAGTGTGGAATGGTAATGGAATGGAAAGGAAGGGTGGAAGTTGAGTGGAAAAATCAACAGCTGCCGACGGCAACAACACACAGTGTGAGCGAGAGGGAGAGGGGGAGTGCGAGAGAGAGGCAGCAGCCATTGTTGTCATGCGTGAGAGAGCGGGGCAGGGGAAGCGAGACAGCAACAGGGAGCAAGCGAGACAACCATTTACGCGAGTTCGAATTTCGAAGGGGAAAAGAGCAAACGGTTTCCAGTTTTTCCAACTTCGACTTTTAATGGCTGACCGCAGACTGGAAGGTGCGTTCGAACCGGTTAAGACCGAACCGAAACGGTTAAGGCCTCTCAACGGCATTTCAATTCATGCATATGCTGTTAAAATATTTATTAATTTATATTCGATTCAAGTCCATTTGATGCTAATAAAAATGCGCATAAAAATTGCATAAATTTTAGCCCATTGATTGGGGAACAGGTTACCCACGAATTGTGCTCTAAATATGGATTATGGCTTATTGTCTGGGCGGTAGTATATTGGCCCGTATTGCTTATGTCACAATTGGCAACAGGAAATAGGTGGGAGTGGTGCCAATATTACTCTCTAATTAAATCCTTTGGCCCATAAATCAGAAGCCCACATGACACATTGATCGCTTTTATTATGCAAAAATTAACACAACAAATACCGCTGGGCATAAGGCAATTCATTAGCGATTTCGTTATTTGATTTCGGTTTTATTCAGCTCGAACAGATTCGTTGATTTATGTGCCATATATCAGTGGCTATATGTTCGGATTCCCTCATCTATTCGCTATTTGCAGCACATGTTTCACATTTGTAGATCTTCGTTTGATTAGAGCCCTCCTAAAAAAGCTCTATTGTTAATTTCCAATGCCAAATGGCGTTCATTTTTAACACCTTCTCAAGTTTATTTTGACAGTTAGCGTTGGTTTTTTTTCTGACTTGACGGCAAATCGATATTCGATGGGCAAATAAATAAATTAAAAGTCAATTAAATATCAATCAATTGCGTCAGCTGTTTTTCAAGGCACATTTAACTGGTTAATTGGGGGCCTAGCAGAAAAAATTGTCATTGTGTAATTAGCGTGTTTTTGTGAAAAATCGCATATTATTCTAGAAGGGGTGGGGGTGATAAAAAGGCACCCCCACCCCATCCCCATTTAAATTAAAACAATTAGCTTTGCGGTCGCCCCTCTTTTCCTGGCTTAAAGGTGGTGTCGATAAAGTTGTAGGCTGTAGAAAACGCAGATTGAAACGTCGCGGCCAAAAACAAAATCAACAAAAACTAAATGCTTATGAAAAGTGTCTGAAGAAAGGGATGGCAGTAGGCTCTCCCCCTTCGGCAAGCAGGCAGCCATTTTCCTGGCTTACCATATGCAAGAGGGAGCAGTGCAGCTAGGGTAACTCAACTAAGGAACGCCCCGTGAGAGAGGGAGAGCTTGCGCCTGCGCAGTTCGCTGGGGACACAGTTGTCAACCGACTGACAGCTCCAGCATGCGCATAATAAAGTCATATTGCCGCCTAACAAGCCCCCCCCTCCCCCTACTCAAAATTGGCAACAGAGAGAGACAGTGAGAGAAGGAGACAGAAAGAGCGAAAGAGAGTGGGTGTCTTAGGAGGAGTGAGTGAGCCAGCGAAACCGGTTAGCCGGGGGCAGGTGACAGGGCCTAAAGAGAGAGCGAAAATCGATCAGTGTAGTACCACTCTCATCATCTGTCACCAACTGCTGTCACTCACTCACTCGCTGACCCGCTCGCACTCGTAGGCCTACACACTTGTGTCCTGTTCGTCTCTCTCCCTTCCACACTTAGACCTCTCGCTCCCGCATGACAGTTCAATCGGCTCTCGCGTTAACTCTCCCCGACGTCGTCGCTGCGATGCCGAAGTAGTCAACTAATTCAGTCGTTGCGCTCGACGTGAACAGACGTGCGTGTCGGAACAAGCAACCGAAAGTCAAACACGAAAACAGAAATCATAAAACAGAAATCAGAGAAAAACAGAGAATCTGAGCAATCAGAAGAATCAGTAGCGAAGTGACAAGTGACCCAGTGACAAGTGTCTTTAGCGAGTTAACAAAAAAAATCAATGGCCCTGGAGGATCGCTGCAGTCCACAATCAGCGCCCAGTCCCGTTACCCTACAAATGCAGCATCTCCACCATCAACAGCAACAGCAGCAGCAGCAAATGCAGCACCTCCACCAGCTGCAGCAACTGCAGCAGTTGCATCAGCAGCAGTTGGCCGCCGGTGTGTTCCATCATCCGGCCATGGCCTTTGATGCTGCAACGGCGGCTGCTGCAGCAGCTGCTGCGGCCGCCCACGCCCATGCTGCTGCACTGCAGCAGCGACTAAGTGGTAGTGGCTCTCCAGCCTCCTGCTCCACTCCTGCCTCCTCGACCCCGCTGACCATCAAGGAGGAGGAGAGCGACTCCGTGATCGGGGACATGAGTTTCCACAACCAGACGCACACCACCAACGAGGAGGAGGATGTGGAGGAGGAGGACGACGACATCGACGTGGATGTGGATGACACGTCGGCCGGAGGACGCCTGCCACCACCCGCCCACCAGCAGCAGTCGACGGCCAAGCCCTCGCTGGCCTTCTCCATCTCAAATATCCTGAGCGATCGTTTCGGGGATGTCCAGAAGCCAGGAAAGCCCTTGGAAAACCAGGCCAGCATTTTCCGGCCCTTCGAGGCGAATCGCTCCCAGACAGCCACGCCCTCCGCCTTCACAAGAGTGGATCTCCTGGAGTTCAGCCGGCAACAGCAGGCCGCCGCAGCAGCAGCCACTGCAGCCATGATGCTGGAAAGGGCCAACTTCCTGAACTGCTTCAATCCCGCTGCCTATCCCAGGATTCACGAGGAGATCGTGCAGAGTCGCCTGCGAAGGAACGCGGCCAATGCCGTCATCCCACCACCCATGAGCTCCAAGATGAGCGATGTGAATCCGGAGAAGTCCGCGTTGGGATCTCTGTGCAAGGCTGTCTCGCAGATTGGCCAGCCGGCTGCTCCCTCGATGACCCAACCACCTTTGGGCAGCAGTGCCAGCAGCTTGGCCAGTCCGCCACCCGCCTCCAATGCCTCCACCATCAGCAGCTCGTCCTCCGTGGCCACCAGCTCGAGCTCCTCCTCCTCGGGATGCTCCTCCGCCGCCAGCTCGCTGAACTCCTCGCCCAGCAGCCGACTGGGAGCCAGTGGATCGGGAGTTAATGCCAGCAGTCCCCAGCCGCAGCCCATTCCTCCGCCATCCGCCGTTAGCCGGGACTCCGGCATGGAGTCCTCGGACGACACGCGATCCGAAACGGGATCCACAACTACCGAGGGAGGCAAGAACGAGATGTGGCCTGCCTGGGTCTACTGCACCCGCTACAGCGATCGTCCAAGCTCAGGTTAGTATTCTTAATTATACATAGGTTAAGGTTAAGCTGGTTCAAACGTTTGGTTTATAAGAAGTACATCTCGATATGTAAATTAGATCATTCGGTTTATAGGATTTTCTTTTAGTAAAATCAACTAAGCTTTGTCTGGATTAAAATCACATATTTTAATTCCTAACTTATTATCCAAGAGTGGCAAGTACTAGCTTTTTCTTTTTGCCCATACAACATACATTTAACATGGTCAAAGCAAAGGTTCTACATCAAGAAACCCAGTAATATATGCTACATGACACATGAAAATGGTATATGCTTGCTGGGGACCACCCTTGGGGAGCGTAATAGTGGCGGCAGCCTTTCAAGCAGCTCTGTTTTGTGTCATAAATCCCAAGGACACTGCCACAATTAGGCGACACGCGGACAATGGCAATGAGCCCGAATCTGACTCCCATTTCTATAACCATTCCCATTCTGAATCGGAATCCGATTTTTGGCCCTCACGCAGCGCTGCGCTCCTTTTGAAGAGCGACACTTTATGTGACAACATGTAGCGCAGGCAGTGTTTGGCTATCATATCGGAACTGTTAGATCCTCGGGTCTGAGGACGGAGGTCGAAGGTCACAAGTCACGCACACACGCCAAGCAGAAGCAAAGACAGCGACAGCGACCCTAAAACGCGCTGACGATTGACGAGGAAAAGCGGGGGAGAAATCAAAGGGGGAAAACCCCGAAAGGAAATCTTTTCTCCTCTCCGAAATTTTCCTTATAGCTCCTCTTTAGACGGTGTGTTAATTGACGAGTTAAGTGCTTTTTTATGGCTGGCAATGGTTTTTTAATTTGGTGTCGATGCAATCGATGGCAGCCCATAAGCTAGGCGTTGATAGCCCCACCGATTACAGCCCCTCACTTGGCGGCTGGAAATTAATCAAACGATCTCCACTTACTGGTGGTCAATTAAATTATAATTTACAATGTGTGGAAATCTAATAAGCACTTGGCTCTCGAGGTCTCGCGGGTTGCCAATTAGCCGGCGACTCGGACTTAGTCGCTAATTAGAAAGCCGGCTAGCTGGGAAATCATTTGCCTAAAATATGCCCGCCACATTCTGCGACCTTTGGGTTCGTTAGAGTTCTTCTTTTCCGCTGACAGCTGACAAATTGAACACTTCCCCGCCAGCACGCGAAAGGGAGCGCGAGCTCAGGAATTCCGACCAGACATATGCTAATTAAATCATTAATATTATTAATAGTATGTGTGTGCCGCTTTTATGCAAATAGAACTAACGCATTTCTTGTGTTTCTTCATATTCCAGGACCCCGCTACCGCCGCCCCAAACAGCCAAAGGACAAGACCAACGACGAGAAGCGGCCAAGGACCGCCTTCTCCAGCGAGCAGTTGGCCCGCCTCAAGGTGAGATTCGATATCCTTTCCTTTAGAACATACCCTATATCCCATATCCTATTTCCCATATCCCTACCATATCCACATTCATTTTCCGTCCGTTTGTTGTGTCATATTTGCACCAAAATATTGACACCGCCCGCTGTTAATGCATCCTGGCCACCACATCCCGTCCGTACTTAACCAATTAGACACGCACGGCCCAAACCGCAAATAATTGATTTGTCCTACCTGCCTAGGAGTATATCTGTGCCATCCGAAACTCATCCAGTATTTCCATTCTTCCACTTACAGCGGGAGTTCAACGAGAATCGCTATCTGACCGAGCGGAGACGCCAGCAGCTGAGCGGCGAACTGGGCCTGAATGAGGCCCAAATCAAGATCTGGTTCCAGAACAAACGGGCCAAGATCAAGAAGTCGACGGGCTCCAAGAATCCGCTGGCCCTGCAGCTGATGGCCCAGGGATTGTACAACCACACCACCGTGCCGCTGACCAAGGAGGAGGAGGAGCTCGAGATGCGGATGAACGGGCAGATCCCCTAAGCGGTATCCTCACCGGATTTCAAGGAGAGCTTCTTCATCCTTCAAAAGGGCGCGTGCAATATTCGAGGGCGTACAAACGGTTTTTCATGTGATATAATTGTAGCGTACATATGTTTTTTGTATATATATATAAATATTTGATAACCCTAGCTAAGCGTAAGATCTATCCGTAGCGAATTCGAGCTGTAAGTTGTTGGCGTATTTATTTAACCACCCTTGGATAGCCGAAAGTATTATGCCGCATCCAACCAACTCGTAATCCTCTAACACATGGCTTGTCGCATTTTAAAAGCTTCGACTTTTAGACGTTTATTCCTACACAAAATCATCTATAGTTATTATTCTCTATAAATTATGTGCTTACGAACCACTCTGTAAATTAAGTAACTTAATAGTTCCCCCTAGCTTAATTTCTAGTTTACACACATAAGGATTGCTATGAATGAGTATTTTTAGTTTCTAAGCGAAATGTTAACGAGCAAGTAATAGCTGACAAATGCACCTAAGAAAATAACAATGAAATGTTTATGCTAAAGCAAGTTCAAGAAAAGAAAAACTAAAAAAAGAAATAAAACAATTATTGAAAAAATTAAAAAGCAAAGTTTGTGTACTTTTTTTGGGGGGGGGTGGGGATTTTAAATATTTAAATAGTTCTTTAAAGAAGACCTAAAAGGTTTTTGATTATTTAATTCTAGTTCAAGAAAAACGGTAATAAAAATCGGAAAAATAAGAAAAGGATTTATTTAGAAGATTTTTTGTTTTTCTATAATTAATTTAAAATCGTAACGTGCTGTTTTAGGATTCAGATATTAAAGGGAATATACCACCCATATTACAAATCACATGTGGGTTAATCGGTGGCATTATTAGTTGTAAGGGGCGCCCAGATCCTTTGTTTTTCCGCCCTATTTTCAACTGTCACATCAAAGGCTGAGGAACTTTAAATCATGAACACTTGTCGCCGGGCGAGGGTGCCGCTAATTGCACAATCACATTCCGAATCAAAATCGGAGGCCGCCGCCGAGTGAAGGCAGCATCTTGGTCTTCGATTCCATTCCGTTTAATTAAAGGCGAATCCGCGAAAACTATAAACAAATATCTGTGACGAGACAGAAGACAAAATAGAGGCAGGGAGCAGTCAGTTGTGAGTCGGCATCAAATGATTTATTGGCACAGATCTTGCGGCGAGCGGCGTTAATTTGCTGAAAATAAATGCAAACGCGAAATGCAATGCAAAATTAGGAGGGGGCGAGATGGGCAGCTGACATTTACTGGCAAGCGTTGATGTGCACTGCAGTAGTACGCGTATACCTACATATATATAAACGAGTGTATAAAACGAATATAAATTGATGCCAAACGCTAATTGCACAGCTTGAGGCTCAAATCCGTTCGCATGTCTCGCGGCGTTTTAGCCAAGGCGGATTCAAATCGTCCGAATTATAGAGGCGCAAATCCATTTGTGCACGTAATGAACCAATTAGACAATTTGCCCATTAGCAATACACACAAACATCGCCGCAATCTGTCTTGCCATCTGTCTGTCGATTTGTCGATCTGTCTGTATCTGCAAATCGAGTTAAATGAAAGCGGAAATCGAATTAACTTTTTTATCATTGGTACTCCATTAGTTCGGTGGGTATATTTAGCTGGAGTAGAAACTTTACTGTAACTTTGTACTTTTCACAAATGATATTTTAGCACTCAATTTACCTGTGCTTAATAATATATATATATTATATAGATATATTAGTGCAAGTTGTCTTTAATTTTAGGTATGACTCCAGATTATTAAAACTTCTTCTTGCCAAAGGTACCATTTGTTATAACATAGCCAAAATAGGGCGCACAGCCTAAAAAATGACTGTTTTGTGCAGCTGAGAACCTATACAATCAATTTCAGGTTTTGTGCAGCTGAGAACCAAAAAAAACTATTCCAGACTGATTTGGAAAAAAAATTTTTTTACGCAAAACGGGGCGACTTTTTCCTGCAAAAATTGGGTTTATATTTTGGCCAACTTTCTCATTTTGTGGCCAAAATAAGACGCACAGCCAAAAGAATTACTTTCCCGTGCAGCTGGGGACCTAAGCTTTCAATTTTAGGTGGATTTGGAAAATTTTATTTTTTGACCGATTTTCACATTTTTTATAAGGGGTAACACTTGATTTTTTGCGAAAATTGGGTCAAAATATAAAATTTTAGTTGAGAATACCATGAGATTGGAAATTTTGTAACGAATTCAACGAAGTATGACATTCCAAGATCTGCCCATTATTTCCAAGTGTTTTGATCAAAAAACCGGAAATTCAGTTGATTTTTTCGGACTTTTGGCATAACATATATTTATAAACACATTTTTTAAGGGTTTTTTGTTGTAATTTTGCCAAAATAGGCCGCACAGCCAAAAGAATGACTGTTTTGTGCAGCTGAGAACCTATACAATCAATTTCAGGTGGTTTTGGAAAATTTTACTTTTTGACCGATTTTCACATTTTTCATAAGGGGTAACACTTGATTTTTTGCGAAAATTGGGCCAAAATAAAAAAATTTAGCTGAGAATACCATAATATTGGAAATTTTGTAACGAATTCAACGAGGTATGACATTCCAAGATCTGCCCATTATTTCCAAGGGTTTAGATCAAAAAACCGAAAATTTTGTTGACTTTTTCGGACTTTTGGAATAACATACATATATTTATAAGCACATTTTTTAAGGGTTTTTTGTTGTTATTTTGCCAAAATAGGCCGCACAGCCAAAAGAATGACTGTTTTGTGCAGCTGAGAACCTATACAATTAATTTCAGGTGGATTTGGTAAATTTTATTTTTTGACCAATTTTCGCTTTTTTATAAGGGGTAACACTTAATTTTTTGCCAAAATCGGACAAAAATAAAATTTTTCAACTGTGAATGCCAAGTTTTAGAGAATTTTATGACGAATTCAGCAAGGTATGACATTCCACTATTTGGCAATTATTTTCACGGGTTTTGATCTAAAAACCGAAACTTTAGTTGATTTTTTCTGACTTTTGGACATAAAAAACTATTTTTTTAATGGTTTTTGTTCTAACTTCTCCAAAATAAGACTCATAGGTAAAAGAATGACTGTTTCCTGCAGCTGAGGACCAAAACTATCAATATTTATAATTTATATTTTCACCAATTATTGCTTTTTCCTTATGAAGTCATGATTTAAGATTTAAAACGTACAAAAAACTTTCAAAATCGATTAAAATGGTTTATGTTATTGGTTATGAATAGTTAAATGTTCCCCTTAAGTATTTATATATTTAATAATCCCTTCCTCTTTTACGACCCATTACTTTGCACCATTTAATTTAAATCGTGCTAAAGCTGCAATCTATTCCTAATGAATCACTTTCAATAACAGTATTGATTCATCGATTTGATTGTTACTGCCGCACGACTCTATCAATTTTGTAACGATGGGGTCACCTGTAATTGATTACCTGCAGCTAGCGTGTGCAGTGTGTGAGTAATTTGTTGTTTAATAGTTGGGCCAACTAAACGAAGGCAAATTATATAATCCAGCAATCGATTACCGAAGGGGATTATAGAGATATCATCAAATCATGTCGGGGTCACCAAAATGTCAAGTAGATACAAATTATATTTAATAGTGGTAGGGTGCTCCGCGAAATCGGTCTTTTAACAGCGCTTTTTTGTTAGCTTCGATATCAAAGCAAACACTTTCAACACTTCTAATTAGCAGAAATTGCCAAGTGACACACTAAATTTCACTTTCAGACAGCTCAAGGAATGGAATTTCAATTGCGCATACAATGTAAGGGGTATTTAGTTGGGGATGCTGATGCATATAAAGACGGAGTTTGGGGGAGCGACGATGCGATCCATCGAGCGAGCTATTAAAAAGCCACAAAAACACATATGCCGACTCCATAAGTCAGTCGTCTGTGTGGGCGCAGCATCCCCTCTTAACCCGATCCCCATTTCCATACCGACTGTGATTTATGCCCCTTTGACGTGGCTACAAATACAAAATGCAAACTACAAAAACTACACGGCGAAAAAATCATAACCATAAATCATAATAAATTATAAGTAATAAAAATCTGGTTGTTTTAACAAGCAAATATCAAAGACAATTCAATCAAGTTTGTCTATTTCGAATTTCGTTACTGAATTATTTTTCAAACTTAAACTATAGTTCTTAAGCTAAGAAATTCGGGCATTCCTATTTGTAAGTTCAATATAAATGGCTTGAAATTGTTTGATATTATTTATATATATATGACTTTAATAAAGAAATGCGAAATATAAAGTCTATAGAAATCTGTGAAGAAATTAAATCACTTAAAAGTTGTTTGCAAATTCGCAATCTTATTTCTATATTTACTTTTATTTTTAATCATGTTACTTTGAGACATTTTCTATATGCTTACAACTTCTTTGAATATTTGAGAAACAATTATTAGTACTAATAAAAATCTAAATATTTCGAGAAAATATGATTTGTAACTCTCAAGATTTCATGATATTTTTCTCTGTGTGAAGATGCTGCTCAAGATGCTGGAGTGAATACTAATGCCCCCTTTTGATTTGGGCACTACCGACACGTGTCTGCCACTGCCACCCCTCTAACATCATATCCCGCATTGCCACAGCCTCGGAGATCGCTAATTGTGCTTTTTGGGTGGTGCATTTTGCAGTTTTGTTGCCTTAATTGCCGCGATGCCAGGGCATCTAGTAAACGTCGAAATGGGCGACGGCAGATTTATTTGGCCCATCGCAGCGCCACTTGTTTCCGCTTCGCTTTATCAATTGATTTACGAGACTTACTCCCTGATGGAATGGAAAAGCATATGAAATGCGAAATACGGGACTACGAAATACGAAATACGAAACAGTCGCACTTAAACGTTACGATTACGAGCGCCTGATGTTCGCCATTTGCCGGCAGAGTTGTCAGTGAAACTAAAGCTGAAGCTGGAGCTGTTGGCATTTCATAATCGCTGGCTGCTGCCAGAGTTCCGTGGAAAGTGCACTCAATTATGGCCAACAGACAGGCGCTCTCCCGCTTATATATTTTTTTTCTTTCATATATTTTTGCCGCGGCGCTACCAATGGCATGAGGAGTATCTCATGAGTATCTCACATTATGGGCTGCCAAGTTTCAGCTTCAGCTCCAGCCTAAACAAACATTCAAATGCCCGGTGAGGCGGGCTCTCACACACTTGGCTTGGATTTTCAGCAGAAGTCAACGCCAACTTGGCCAGAAAGGCTGAGTATTCAAGCCCTGGCATCATCATCATCATCATCACCACCATCATCTCCTTCAACTCGAGACGTCAATGCTCTGTGTTGACTCAACGCATTTGATCGGCTGTGTATCTTTGTATCTCAGTATCTTTCTATATCCCAGCCCCTTTGAGCCCTTTCCCCGCGATGGCGCTTAGCACTGGCCAAATATTTGAGCCGCGCTTTGTTAACCCATTGTAATTGATTGTCTTTCGTTAGGCGCATTCTGCATTCGGTATTTTGGTATCGAAGTCCGTGAGCGGGTACAATTTGCTGCCT